CCTGACTCAAAACAGTACCATACCATCATGCATTTTTAAAATACCTCATCTAGAATTAAAGATATGTCCAAATAGTTATATTTCCATGTTGTGAAAATGTGTTGCAATTTGTGACGGGTTGGCCCCCTTTTTTTGCTAGAATGGCTGGACTATTGGGCAAACACGTTGCACTATTATGATGGTGTTGGACACTCAGTGGCACATGATATGTATGAATGAGAACCATACATATAATTGCTAAGTATGTTGTGCCCGCGCTACAGGTGCCGCTCTTAATGGCATACTGGTCATTCGAGGCACTAGCTGACTATGTGGCCGATGAATGTACATGTGTTGTAAACCAAATGATATTTAACACAATAGACTGTGTACCGTCATGATGACTACCGCATATTACTACATGTTCCTGCTTTTGCCTGGTGATGAGGATACACGATTCGATTGATCCTAAAATATGGTGATCTGGTTCACATACAGCCATAGGAAAGGAAACCTGACGCAGTTGCAAAAGTAGATTTCAATACTTCAATTAATGAACTCCAGTTGTTGCTACATGGACTCCACACTGGACTTTCACGACTTGACACTCAATGGGAATTTCTGATGCTGAATATTCATACACGGACACTGGCCGGACCTGGACTTTCAGTTATTATACTATTATATAATTTATATACTATATTCTTTTACTGTTTATTTATAAAATATTTTCAAAAATATATCTTAGTATTCAATGTTTTTTTCTCATGCTTGCCTCGTTATTGTTACTGCTGTGGTATGTGCATATGTGTCGTCATCAACTTTATTCCTTACTAGCTAAGTATTCAAATCAATGAGTGTTGAACTACTAAAGGGGTGGTCAATACTCCCCTGGGCATATCCATACCAAGCATATGATTTGTTGTATTTGATACACTGTGGTTTCACATTGTTTATATGTGGCGTCATATATACAATTGACTACTGCATTATTGCCTCTATTTCAGTCTTAATTATTGCCACGTTACACACATTTTATAACTTTAAACCGGTGAGGGAAATATTGAAAATTATGGGGTATTTTTGACCATGACCGTATGACAAGACCATCATTTGTATTTATAAGGTAAAATTAAAATAGAAATATACTCATTACTATGGCATTACTAATAACATACTCCAAAGTATTATCACACACTGGCGAAAAAGTGACGTAATACGTAATCACGTGTTTTATAATATGGTGAACAAACAACAACCACATATAGTTCTGATGATATGTAGCACCTTATTTATCTATAAATATAACAGCATGCATACACCGTAAGTGAAACTCGAATGTGCATCCTAATTATTTTGAACTACAATATAACTTTTGTTATGCTAATGAGATACTGTTTGTGTCCGTTTACACCATTAGTTAGTAATCACAGCTGGAAAAAAGAAGAACGAAATATAAGTTGTTTTCAAGTCATGTTAACATTATTTCATGTTCAGAATTGTCCGTGGAGTTTAGGTTAAACTGCTCTCATCTATATTAGTTGGTATCAATTATAATACTTGCGAATCACCTTGAAATGAAATGCACATTCACCTATCATTGTGACATACAAATGTCCTCAGAGTTATAAGCTGAAAGATGATTGTGAATATGCATGAAATATGTTACCATTTATTTTAAAGAAGAGGCATATTAAAACCATTTGTACTCGTCATGTTGTATGCGCAACATTTTACATTCGCCGAAAATGATTTTTGTGTAACCAGTTTAGTATATCATTCAAATACCATAGGCTACTAGCAGGTTTTGAAAGAAACTCCTTTGTTGAACAATTTATTAATAAATTTAAAAGTATTAACAAATAACAGTACGGCGCGTTTTTATTAAAACCGTAAAAATGTATGATAGATATGTGCAATACAAACGCATTTGATTAATTTGTGATTTGTTGTAGAACCAACAAACTGCTTGTCTTTAATAGTGTTTTGTTATTATTTGAAAATATAATGTATGTTCAAATTGTCCTGGTTCCTGGTAATATTCAATCTTTCTTACACCTTTAATATAAAAAGCGTATCTAAAGACATTTTCCAAGCAGCATTTTCCTTTTTAACTGTTGGTACTGAAACATGAGCATCATATCGAAAATGCAGTAATGACAACACATAATACCAATAGTTGAAAATTCCACTAAGCTTATAATTACACGTAAGTATTGTCTACAGAGAAGTCACCACTGTCATAATTAGCAATAACTGACTTCAAATAATGTTTTGTTGCTAGATTATGTGAGAATCGTCATACAATAACAGAAGACGCGCCAAACGACGTCCTGACAGTGATACCAACTGTTCATTTGACTTTAGTCATATTCTTGTCTAAATAAAATTAATTTATTTTTTAATATTTACATTAAGATTTCATTACGAACTTAAATTGTTTGTACAAGTCTATAAACTGACAACTCACCTTTCAGGAACCATCCAACTCTCCCCAAGTTCATAGATATCGTTCTTAGACAATATTTGCCCATTAGGTTTCATGAAATCATCGTTAGGGTCACCATTATAATTTCCCAGTAATCCGCATACTTTACCACGCATTGCAGGATCCTTTAAATCGATGTTAATGCCGCGTATCGTCTTGGTCCAAATCAAAGAAACTCGGGGATACCATAGTTCAACGTACATGTGCTCATCTATGATGTTTACAGTACCTTCTTCGTTTCCTATTACAGCCGTTGAATTGGTGAACAAATTTCCTTTGATCTATGGAGCAAATGTTGTGATGATGTCAAAATTGTAATGAAGCGAAGTAATGAAATAGTAATTATTTTATGTTATCTATCAATCCTGTAATCCCCCCTAAATTCATTATAATGGCTAGCTGTAACCATGATACACACTATTCTGAGTTTCATCTATGAGTTAAGACAAAACGCTCCTGCACAAGCCACGTTGCAACTCTTCGTTTCAGCGGATATACAACAATACAACAAGTATTGATCCAAATTCGTCTAGTGACGAATGACTAATACACACAAGATCAAAATATATTACTATTATACTATTATATGTGCGTTGCCTTATTGGCGAAAAATAAAATATTGAAGATAGTAATAGAAACATGACTTCTATATTACCAAGAATGCATTGTTCTTCAATATACGTAACAACAGTTTTCCCCCAACATAAATATTAACTGTCTCAATTCGTGTCAATGGCTTGGCTCGTAGTTCGGAATATTTCCCACGAAAGTCAGCAGTGATTCTAAATGATGGGTTCATTGTACTCGTGCAGTCTTGGGTGAGTATATATGTACAAAGACCTTGGAAGTTATACTTCACTCCATCGAATGTTGTGAAGTGGGGGTCTTTTTTCACTCCTGCGTCAGGTTCAGGTAATACTAATTGTTCTGATGTCGACTCATTTTGTTTTTCTAAAGTCCACTCTGTTTCGGGTGTCAAACCTAATGCATAACACAAATGCATGCTGTCAATAATGAATTATAATGTATTGATGCTAACCTGAGAAACATAGAATCAAATTATTGCTACCCTAAGTATTCGATGACAAGTGAAGTGCAACTGAACTAGCTACATTGCAATTTCATTAAACTATATAGTTCAGTTATTTTAGGGTCCCATATTTTGCGTTGTTGGCAATTTTTTGTAAATTGAGTAAAAGCCATGAATTGAAAAAACTAGGGTTACCATTGACACAATGATCAATCGGTTTGATGTGAACACGCTCGATAATTTGGTATGGAAGTAGGAATGGTTACCATTGATAGTACAAAATTGATTCTCCATTTATAACAGAAACAGTTATTGATGGAGGGGTATTCCAAGAACATTTATTGCAAGTTTAGGTTCGTCTTTAAATCTTAAGCCAGTAAATTAGATATATTAATACAATACGGAAGGAACAATACAGTAAACATAAATAATTTGCATCTATTTTGGAGGTTTGCACTTGCAGCTAGTTTGCATTGTGTTATGTTAACTGTTACTCACATGGTTCCAAGACTCGCTGTTCATAAGTCTTTGTTTGATTAATTGTTAGATATACCCACGTAGCCCACGGACCTTTCCCTCCAAGAATTACTTCCTCTGTCATGTTGTTTTGACCAGGTGGTAGTGTCACTTGTCCCGAAGCACTGACACCATCAGTGCTATTTAATTGAAAATCAATAATGGCTTGTTGTTCATCATCTTTATTCACTTCAATTGTTAGGTCAATTCGGCTATTGCAGTCTTTCCAAATCAAATTCATTTTAAGGTCTGGAAAAAAAAAACATGTACAGAATTGTCAGACAAATATATCATGCAAAATAATATTTAGTATATGCAATACACTGAATGACTACAAAACTCAAAATAATATTTACCTCGTTTAGCTATGTTGTGCTCCTCATTATCATCTACTCCACTTGGATCCAAGTAATGATATCCTTTACCCTGTATGGTTTGATTGATGACAAACACAAACAATAGTCAGTAACCAACTGGTTAAGGAATTATAGAGCGAAATGCTTATGGTGAACACAACATGTAAACAAAGTGTAGTATTTGAAAATATTATTCTGAAAATTTGAAATCTGTAATTAAAATCTAAATAGTGCTTTTTTGCCATTCTTGCTTGAAGGACTGTAAATACTATGAGCATCCTGTTTCTGCTTCTGTCGCATTCATTGCCTTGAATTGTCTGGATCAGCCATTTGTCTGCCTTCATAAGTTTGTATAGGACATAACATCAAAGGGTAAGCCAAACCAGTTTTTTTGTAGCGTTTATTTGAATACAAATTCACAGTGATTCGTTTGTGACGATGCTACAGTAACTCAAACAAAGTAACATTCTCATTGCACACAAACTTTAACGAAATATTCCAAATAGCTAAAAAACAGTTAAAAGCTCACAGAGTTTACTATTTCAGTGCCGGTACAAGATGAGTTGCTGCCCAATTGACAAGGCCTGAACGCTTCATATAGGTTAGATTTTCCAGATTAATTGCGGATGCAGTATAAAATCACTTGCGTCACTGGGCGTCAACGAGGCTAAACATATAACGTGAAGAGCAAGCTGATAATAGAACAGTGTAAAAAACATCATCTATTCGGTTTGTAAACCATTTAAATAATTCAAAATTTTCTGTAATAGATATAATAGTTACTTTTGAGATATAAATGAGCACATGTATGCAATCAAATCTCACAGTTTTATGTAATCAACTGATTTTTCAAATTATTACCCAATATGTTTAGATTCCAAAGAAATATGTTTGATTAAACTTATGTTTCTCTTAATATTATTAAGTATTTTTTTCGAGGGTGAATATATTGTTCACACGATATTATAGTTTACTGATAGTTACGCTAGAGGCAGTTAACAGGCCGAGGATCTTACTAGTTCCGTGACCCTAAATAGACAGTTAATTACCGCCAGATTCGGAATTGCTGTATTTTAATGAAGTAATAATGCTCATTTGTCGGGTTTTAGCTCTTTAAGTCGAACGGTCATCCATTCATATAGCTCGACTATCTGGTTCCAATCCAGGGTGTTGCTGCTTAAAATATGTGCCGCGTGTTTAAATAATGAAGGGAACTTTATGGTCGTCACCTGAGTCATGTGAGAAAAACCAAGTTCTGCAAAGCATTCCTCTCCGATTAATTGGGTATTGTTGAGAACAAAGAGTATTTTCACAGTAAACAAGCATTTTTGAACAGTACTTTCTTAACATGCGGGGCAAAAACCTTCCAACATCGAACAACAGCATAAGGCCACAAAGTAGTATTACTGTAATTATACACCAATGTCATCAAACATACAAGGGTTTTAAGAACGTATGGAAACCTATGTGTTTGTGATTTCCATACAAAATTAATGTTTCCAATTAAAGTGAATTTTATGCGAGTAACATGATACATAAGGATTGATGTTATCTGCGAGCCCATATGGACACATATTGTGTGTTGATTAACCTAACTTACCTTTACAATCAATACAACACTTAAAAGCAGGATAGTCACAGCTATAACATTGACAACGACCATCTTGATATGCAGCTATATGATACCTCAGTGGAATAGATGCAGGGCAAACGTCGCTAGTGAATAATATAGACTATCTATAGAGATTGATTTCTAATTGATTATTCGATATGACGTCAGCATATGGTCATATCATAATATCATAAGCATATGGTTACACATCTAAAGGTGTTAAAGCACAGGAAGCAGATGTTACGCTATCAGGAGCATTATCTTTTTTGTGCACACAGTGTCGCCTATTACTTCATAGTTCAAAGAGCATGGGTTACAGTTGTTTTATTTACCTACGCCATAACTTTGTTGATGAGCATCAAATGTTACTTTAATAATATAGAATTATAGGTGCAAAGATGGTACAAGAGGACAATATCAGTGGCATAAATTATTTCATTTAGAACACAATAGATGATGATAGTCCGTCAAAACACTGTTTCCGTTCTATGTTGTATTCACTTACTTAAAAACTTAAAATTATGCGTACGAATACAATATTACTATTGTGCATAGAAAACGTGAATTTTACGTTACATTTTCCTTTCTTAAAAGACAAATGAACCAAATATTAGTTTATAGTGGACGTGGCTCAGTGTTTATTGTGTTTTCCCTCACTGTATGTGTCAATGCACTGTAACAATATGTGTAAGTGTGAGTGAATCAAGGCTTAACAACGCCTACAAAATCTGTTCCCATTCTAATCAAAATGTGGTTGTTTGTTCGTTAATATGTCAACATCTACAAGTGAGAAACGGCCACACATAAAGTAGATGTACAGTGGTTTGAATTATAATAGTGTGTTGATATAATATGAACTAGTATTCAATTCGATTCTATTAAATTATTGTGATCGGAAAACTCGATACAAGGATAAGTCTAGCCCCCGAAGTTATCGGTTCTGCCTAAAATGCAACAAGCCATTCTTTTACCAGCGTTTCAGATTGTTACACTGCCCTCATCGCCATATCTCCCAAGATCATCATCTCCCTCCTGCTATTCAAATGTGATGCTCCTAAAACAAGTTGTACTATTAAAATCAAAAATAAAAACATATTTATGGCATCACGAAACAATCTCACGTCAAGCACACGCTCACTAGTTAAAAGGTAATGGTCGCCGTGTAGCGTGATTT